CCCACAAAGGGGAAATGCCTGTCTCCCACCAATCACCCTACACCAAAGTGAGCATTTAGCATGTGGAAGCTGAAGCCCATCCATCCACAGTAAGAACTCTGAGTCTTTGCCTCTGGACACACAGGGCACAAGTCTAACTTTCTGCCATCCTGCCTATGAAAGAACCATACCAGAGGCTTAAACATGACTTCACCAAAACCCCACGACAAGCACCGGAGAACCAGACAGTGCTTCCAAAGCTGGGGCGTGCGGGGATACACTAAGTCACACCCACTGTGTGTGACTTACAGCAGGCGGACTGGAGTGCCCTGGAGTTGTCTCGGACTCCATTTCCATCGCTCCACGCTAGGCGCAAGCTGTTTTGTGGGAAAAGGATGATGTCTGTATCCTCCTGTTCTGGGGTACCTGGGGATGGGGAGCAGGCCTTGGCAGCATCCCCAGGAAACTCGGCCACTGAATTTTGATTCTCTGTGTGGATGCAGAATCCCCAGGTGAAAAGACATCTCTAGCGTCAGATATTGGAGCCCTTTAAACACCTCAGAAGCCTCTACCCCAGCGCTTCTCAACCTCCCTGATGCTGCAACTCTTTAACACGGTTCATGTTGCGGTGATCCCTCAATCATAAACTTATTTTCACTGCTGCTTCCTAACTGTATCTTTGCTACTGCTATGAACCATATGTAAATATTTTTGAAGATAGAGGCTTTGAATATAAAGGGGTCATGGCCCACAGTTTGAGAACCACTGGTCTAGACTTTCTTCCCTACGTGCAATTCTTCTCATCACTGTCTGACCCCGATTGGTAAGAGAGGAGCATTGGACAAGTCCCATGCGGTGCTTGGCTCAGGCTGCCCAGAGGCCAGCGGGGCAGCAGGTGGACAGTCTGTCTCCCTAACAGTTCCAGGAAGGGAGAGAACCTCAACCACAGAGTGACAGCCTGTAAAATTGGCAGGCTCCTGGCCTCAGCTTTTTGCAAATAATGGAACTCAGGTGGGGCTGAGAAAGAATTTAGACCCAGTTTTCATGCCGCCGGATCAACCTTCACAGCCAGGCAGAGAGGAACAAAGACTAGGGCATGGATAAAACACAACCTGTGTGTGCTTCCTAGTCCCTCGGCGTCTCCGAGGAAATGAAGAGAGGAGGCAGCTGTGAGCTGTGGACTCTGAACACGCTAAGGTAGAGCCCTGTAGCAGCCTAAGGCCATCACTGGCTCTAAGGCACAGTGGGCTCCTTGCTCCAAAAATATATGCACATGTGCTACTCTGTGCATCCTCTTCTCTTCCCACCTTGGCCTTGCTCATATCCAAACACAGGCGTGTTCATTGGTCTGACATCCCACGTGCAGAGCAAGCATACTTCGTTATAAAAGGCAAGAGTGTGTTGTCACGAGCAGAATGCAGGGCCATATGGGCTATGCAGGTGGGAGGCAGGGCTCTTGTCCTGCTTTTGAAGTGACCAAGAGCTCTAACCAAGGCCCAGTTCTCTGAGCCCCAGGTACCCAACTACTGTACAATAGTCGATCCCTAGAGTCCCTTCTGGGCACAACTTCCTATACCACAGCACCATAGAGACAGATTCCCATTATCCTCTGAGCATCTGCATGGGGATTGTGCACACCGTTTTCCATTTCATCCAGCACTGGTACCTGTGAGTCCTGGTGATGTAGGTATTATTCTGATTTCCAGTTTACAAAGGAAAAAATCAGACCCTGTGGGATTGATTGACACGCAGCAAGGCACACAGATGGCAAGAGCAAGAGCCAAGATTTCAGCTCAGGCAGCCAGACACCAGCCTTCCCTAAGCAATCCTGCAGCCAGCCTGCCAGCAGCCGGCCCTGGCCCTGGGTGGCTTTCAGAGTTCGTCCTGTCTACCTAGGCTTGTCCCATCCTTTGTCAAGCCACATCCCATTCTCCCAGAGCATAACCAGTTAGAGCTGGTGGTCTGCGAGGGGCCCTCCTCCTTTCACAGCCCTTAGGCATGGCACTCAGCACTGGGAAGCTCTAGTCTAACCAAATACTGGGCAAGACTGGGCCAAGCGGCTCCTCTTTGATTCTATTCAGGAAAAGAATGACAGCTGTACAAAGACGGGACGATTTTTTTCCCCTTGCTGTTATTGTTGTTTTTAATTCAAGCAACTAAGCCTAGCTCTTTCTTAAACAAGAAATGCATTAGAAAAACAAAATTAAACTAAATAAGGGCCCAGTTCCCCCAGGCCTGTTCAGAGAGCTGCAGGATTCTAGGCATAGAGGAAAGAGCGTGAATGGACCTGCTGGGGAAGTGCTGGGAGCTGGTTCCCACCACATCTAGATAGACCAGGAACACAGGAAGGATAATCTAGCCTGGCAAGTGTGAAATGGAGAGGCAGGGGGAGGGTAGGGGAGGGAGAGACAGAAGAGAGGAGGGAACAGGGAAGAGCAAGAAGGAACAGCAGAGGAGTGTCTGATCTGTCACTGTACTTTCTCCTATCAGCAGCGGCAGCAGCAGCAGTGAGGAGAGCCCCAAGCAAGAGCCCCCAACTTTGAATAACTCCTGTGCCCCAGAATTGCAGGGCAGCGGCACCAAGTGGGCATCTCCTTTGGAGCTCTGTGTGCTGGGCCATGGGCTGCAGCCAGAAGCTCGCATCAGCCGCAGCCAGGACAGAGCCCAGCCAGAGTAACAACACCAGCAGAAAGAAGTGGCCTGGCACACTGATGCCAGTGACCCTAGGACACAGGACGCAGCCATGAGGTGTTTGCACTGCACCACGGATGGTGGGCAAACCAACTCGAACCGCAGTGTCTTGGACAGACCCTGAAGATGCCCTGCCTGACGGTCTGCAAAATCTTCAGCAACAGTTGGGTTCACTTCGCAGCAAAGATCCTGCTTTGCCTGAGGTTTAAATGTTAATGAAAACCTTAGAGCCTGCAATGAGCCCTTTATCTTTTCAAGAGCTGGCCTTAACTAGAGGGAAAATATATTTGTTCTTAGAGGGACATGTGATAACCAGTGGTGATGACAGCATTTAAACCACAACCATGAGTGAAATAGTATCCCCTGGATAAGAAAACCAAAGTTGTGAGGAAGCGTCCCAGGAGAGCACTCTCCCCCCTCCACCCCGCAACACAAGGATCTTGCTGAAGTTCAGACAAGTTAGAAGAACAAAGCACAAACAGGTACAGGGTGGTTGGCCTTGGACTCTGCATTCTTCATTAAATTCCATTGCCTTTGATTAATCTATCACTGTACCTGCCTACAGCATAAGAAGTCATACAAACAGTAGGACAAGCTAATTTTTTTTTTATTTGCTTTAAGGTTAAATATCATGATGGTTAATGCTGTCAATTTGACAGAATCCAGAACCACTGAAGAGACAAGTTTTTGCTCATGTCTGTGAGGGATTTTCTAGATTGAGTTTGATGAGGTAGGAAGCCCCACCCTACTATGGTTGGCACCTTTCCATGGAGGTTGGGGGCTGCAGATCCTGAACCTCAGAAAAGAGGAAGAAAACTAGCGACCAACATTCATTTCTTCCTGCTTCCTGACTGTGGATGCAATGTGACCAGCGACCCCCAGTTCCTACCACCCCATGATGGACTGCACCCCTCAGTCTATGAAGCCAGAATAAACCCTCCTCCACTAAGAGGCTTTTGTCGGGCTATTGTGCCCCATACGTTAGCAGGGAAACTAACACACGTGGTTTGTTTCGACAGCACAGCGTTGAAATCTCCACTGAAAGCTTCGTTTAGAAGCAAATTGCTCCTGACACTAGAAAATGAGGCAGATTAGAACATCCATCCGCTCCCACCCACACCCTGCTTCCCTGTTCACGCCCACTTTTGGCCATGCCACCCTTGGCCTTAGTGTGTATCAAATTCTCTGGCTGAGCTAAACACCCACACACTTCTGGGTCTGAGCAAACACAACTGAGCCTCCAAAACAAGAGGCCTGTTCTATGCACTGAGTGAGGGCTGGAGCCCAGAGATACGGAGGGTATGGCGACGGAGGGTATGGCGCATCCTTACAGGCCTACCCACCCCCAAGCTTCTTGCCAAGATTATTTCTAGGTCATCTGCAGAGAAGTTCTGTTGGTGCTGGAAGCAAAGCCAAGGAGCACCACTTCTGCCAAAAACCCTGCTTCTTCCAATGGGCCAGATACTTGCTGCAGACCCTGGAATTTTTCCATCCGGAGCTGTGGAGTACTTTCTATTTAGAAAAGAATTTGCAGTGATTGGGTGATTCAATGCCTGCTCAGTGGGTTGTCAAAAGACAAGAATTCTCACCCACGGGTACAGCTAAGCAGGCTGAACTTCCCAGATCTGCCTCCAAGCTGAGGTTTTTCAGTTTGAGAAAATTACAGACCTCAAATCCTTTTTTGTTAAAATAGATCGTGGGCTCAAGCGCATGTTCTACTGGATCCTGGAGCCTCCGCTTCCCTCCTACTCCTCCCTCCCCAGGGTCAGGCTTGTGACTCTGACTACGGGAATCTCATCTGGCCTGTCACAGTTTTAGAGCGGCAGGGCTTCAGGGACACCCCTGAAGCACCATTGATGAAATGGCTGGGTGGCACCGTGCTCACCCCTGTTATGCAGAGCTACTGACTTGTGTTTGCTCGTGGGGCTGTGTTGACATCAGGGCAGTACCTGAACCACAGGTGTAGTTCTGGGATGAGCCTAAAACGTGCTGTCTTCCATTTGGGTACCACCCTAAGTGATTGGGCAGGCAGCTTGGGAAACACAAAGGCAGGGCTGAGTAAGCGTAATACCTCTGAGCAAACAGAAGCAAACAGTGTCGGTAGCCTCTGAAAGTTTACCCATATGTGAGTTGCTTTAGGTATCATGGGTCTAGGGCCTAAAGAAGTGTTTCTCAACCTATGGGTTGCAACCCCTTTAGAGGTCATAAATCAGATATCCTGCATATCCGATATTTACACTATGATTACTAACAGTAACAGAATTACGCTTACGAGATAGCAATGAAATAATTTTATGGTTGGGGTTCACCATATCATGAGATATGAAAGGGTTGCAGCGCTGGTTTAGAGGAAGATTCCTGGGGATCTTATAAAACAAGGCAGAGCTCCGACTACTGGGATTGCATGGACACATTCTGAATGAAACTGGGGTGTGGTGGTCCCCATAAGCATCACGGTTGGCATAAGAAAGAAATCTGGTTCCGCTCAACCAGCTGGTTAGTCAACCAGCACTTGGCCAAATTTCTGAAGTCTGATGCCAAGTGAATTATTTTTTACAGTAAAACTTCGAACAAACTTTTCCTCGTGACAATTATCACAACAAAGCTTTAGGTGTGGCTACATCAAAACTCCTTTGCAAAGTACATTTCTTTAGCAAAGCCCCTTGTGAACTTCTCTATTAGAATGAGTTCTGTTGGCTGAGAAACACTGCTCAGGAGTTCGGGCCTAGAGAGAAAGAGTTTACAATAAGCATCAGAATGGGCCCTATTGACCGAGAAATGGTGCTCAGGATTTGGGGGATTTGGGTGAAGGCTGGCTCCATAGACTAGCCCAAGATCACCAGGTCAGTAAACAACACTGACTCCAACCTCCCCGCATTTTTTTAATGGATTTCTTCCATTAAAGAAAAAAGCCTGGGTGTTTAACAATTCTGTTTTCTCTAGTGCTGATCCGTGAGCACGTGGACCTCTTGCCCTTGTACACTGGGGTACATGTGGGTATAACACAAGAGGACTTTTAAAAGTTGTAGCTTCAGAAGCCCAGATGTAAAGATGAACTTGATAATCCTAGGGGAAGGCAGATCACCAACCCAGGCCTCCCTCTTCAAACAGCCTAACTGTAGAAGTTCATTAGTCTAGGTTGAGTTCATTAGTTGTTGAACGTCCCACGGTAGTGACGAGAGCTAGAGGTGACCAGCCTGAAACCAGGCGACATGCTATATCATAGAGGGTCAGCACCCCAGACAACTTTCTGGGAGAGCCAGGTAGGAACTCCTACTGTGCCCCCATGAAAGTGCATGCGAGGGGCCTTCCAGAGAGTAAGGCTGCCTCCCCCAACCACACACATGCACACACACATACACACACACGCACACACACACATATACACACGCACGCACACACATGCACACCATGCTATGCTGCAGGTAGCAGAATCAGGACACAGCAGCTCCTGTTCCTGCCGTCAGTCATGGATGGCACTTTCTTACCCCCCTAGAGGACGTCCTTATGCCCTGAGAGCCTTGATGACTTGCCACATGTCCCTACATGAGAGGCTCCAACTGCCACTAGAACCAGGAAGCAATGATAATATGCTGATGAGGCTCAGTGACCCACAGGCTATGGGACTTCTAAGCCACCTTCTCCCAGACCACATCAGGAGAGAGTTGCCAAAGCTAAGGAGCTGGGAGCAGGAGAGGCAATGAAGTTCAAAGGTCAGGCAGTGTTGAGCTGACATCAGAGCAGATGGGTTGCAAGAAGTAAGGACTTGGTCATCGTACAAACATCACCTAAGTAACTCATGAGTTAAACTCTGTACAAAAAAAAAAAAATTAAACCCACTTCAACCTGCCAGGCTTATAGTATCAGCTCAGTTATCCCTCTTGGAGACCAGGCCCTCCCCAAAACCCACGTCTACGATTCTACCATAGGAAGTAAATTCCTGGTAGCCATGAAGGGCAAGGTCAATCCCACAGGTTCTCAGATCCTTTTATCTATGCTTATCTACCCTGTCAAAGAGTTGTGCCCTTGCTGGGACAAATCCACTTCTTTCGCTCAATAGGAAAGATGACAGTTTTTGTTTACTTATTTAGTAATTACACCAATGGGCCCAACCCACCAAGCAAGCACTCAGAAGTGTACTTTTCCATAGCAGAATTAGAAACCAACAAGGAACATTGTTTTATCTATCATTCTTACACCAGACAAGGGGGTGTCTCCATGGGGTACATCACACCCTATTCTTCTTTGGACCAACTCTCCTCTGTGGGAGCACATACAGCCTTCATCCTCCATCCCATGGGGACCTCAGAGCTGTAAGGAGGGAGGTATCAGCACAGCTTTCACCCAACACATTTAGTAGCATAGCAAACAGATCTTCCCCGGGGGAAAAACACAATCTTTTATTTCCATCAAAGCATTCACGAAGGTGGGAAAAATGGTGCAAATATTATTCTAGCAGAGCAGTAATAGCTTTTTTTGCAAGTATAAATACAATCCTCACAATGAAATATAACATCTCCATGGACTGTGCTGTTGTTTACTAGAAGCTGTATCTATTTTCCTTCCGCATGTCACGTGCCCAGTCCCGATCCTCAACTATTCCAAACTGATAGAAATGCGTGGCAGACGGACCAAAGAGATTTGCCCCTTCATTGCAAGGAGCTTGTGCTCGACAAGGCTCAACTCATAAATCCTACAGTGTGAATGAAAGGAGTTTTGAGAAATGTATTCTTTTTCTAAAATAAACCAGTGTTTTGCATGTACCAGGGGAGCTGGTACAGTGAATTATGCATGTTGACATGCCTGTCAATTGATCATCTGGTCGACCGCTTTCAGGCTGCCAAGCACCCACTCTGTCTTCCAAAGAAAATCTTTTCAAAGGTAATATATTTTTAAGTAGCCCCACATCAAAGATTTTGTTGAACCACCATAAAGTAAATGAGTTCTGAACCTGTAGTAACAGAACATGGTATATTGCACTAGCGTTTCCTTCCCGTGCCTGCCTTAAGTTTAAATAAAGTCCCATCAATCCATCCAGACATTTTTATGAAATGTAATTAAAGATGCCTTGCACAAAAGGAGGCACAAACAGTTAACTCACTCCGCTCTCTAATTCAATTTTATGGAGGAGCTCGGATTCTACAGGCTTGGTTACAAGCGTGAACTTCAGAAAGTCAGTTCGAGGATCATGGGTGGGCCCGGCATCAGGGGACAGTGACGTTCTACTGATCCGGCAGCCAGGGTTCTGAACGCTGATGTCCCAGACACCTCGGCAGTCTTGGTATTTCAAACAGCATTGGACCTTGGTTGTAATGGTGCTGGCAGGACTTCATTCATAGCCAATGGGGGTAAAAAGAACCAAGAACAGAGGAGAATTGGAGACGTAGCAAGCAGGAGGTAGATGTGGCTCATTCTTTGAAAACCAAGATGGGGGGGACACAGTTGTGTAATCCATCTTATTGAGACATCTTAGAGAATTCACAATGCCATTGATTCTCCTCTCTCTCTCTCTCTCTCTCTCTCTCTCTCTCTCTGTGTGTGTGTGTGTGTGTGTGTGTGTGAGTGTGTGTGTGTGTGTGTGTGTGTGTGTGTAATGTTCACAGATGCCTGTCTTTATTTCATAATTCTGGTTAAGAATTTATTCTCATGTTCCCCTCTTTCCAGAGCTGCACACTGACCCATAAAGAAAGGGAAGATTTTCAGAAAGCTTGGCCCAGTAGCCCAGTCGGTCCCAGCAGCAGAGAGGTAGAATACAAACATCAGACCGGCCTAGGCAACATTGGCAGGTTCAAGTCACCCTAGGCTATATAACAAAACTTTGTCAAAAGAAAGAGGGAGGGAGAGATGAAGGGAAGGAAGAGGGGAAGAGAAAATGGGAGTGGGGGTGGGGAAGAAAATCAGTTGTCAAACTCACTAAGAATTGACTGGATTCTTTAAAAGTGTCCTTGTCGTTCTGTGTGAAAGTAATAAAAGATTAAAACATTTTGCTTAGAGATACAAGTCTTCATGTCAAATATACCAAACGGGGAAATTAAGTTCCTAAATCTCATTTATCTCAGGCAGAATCTTGGGGTGATCTATCCATCACAGAGATGATCAGCAATTACTTTGGCCCCTAAATGTCCTCCCTGAGGGAGGATGAAAGACCTGGCAAGATTTACACTTTCCTTTGTATGCAAGGCTCTTGCTTTCCAAAATACAATCACCTAAACTTAGGTCCTACCAGAGTATGAACAAAGTATTTCTTCAGCACCTCTTTTACAAAAATAAGCAAAAAGTAAGGTTGAGAGCTCGCCAATGTGTTGCTCCAAAGATGTGTCGCCCGCTAGTGGCAGAAGGCACACACATATACCCAGTTCCAAAACAGCTTCCTTCCCAATACACCTGCAACAAACAGCTTCTGGATGGTTCTGGGGTTGGGTGAGGCAGCTCTGAGAGACAGCGCAGCCTTCTTGGAGAATTCCATTTACAAATAGAAAACTAATTTTCATACCCAACCACAGCCCCACCAAAATTTCATCTATGCCTCCTAAACTGGCTTGGATAGAATTTTAAACAATAATCCTTTGTGGACCTAACTGGTCCTCCTCATCTCTCCCCAAACACACATATCAAATTGCCCCTGGCATTAAGGGAGTAGGAGTCGTTTTCTAAAAGCTCTTAGCTCCTCACTGCCATGAACCCATGAAATGGCTACCAGGTAACAATATGGCATTCCCCAGCAGTTGTGGCTGCACCTCCCTGCTGGGAGCAGCCCTGGCTTTACTTCAGTGGCCCAAAATGGTTCAAGATGGCAGATTCAACAGAAAAAAAAATGTAGGCCTGTCATGAAAATTATTTATCTAGCTACCCCTTCCTTTGAACGGGAAAGGATCAACTGTGTTTACAAAACCTGGGGCCTTTTTGAAACTATTGTTTAGTTAACAGTTTCTGCCACCAGCCCTGGGGGTGCTGGTTCACTTTCTGCTTGCCGAACTTCTCAAGGAGAGCCCAAGGTGACGCTAATAACAGCTGTCAACCCGCAGAGAGGTAATTATAAAGCCATGATTAAAACAAAACAAAGCCTCAAATGTCACAGCCTTCTTCTACGGAACACCAGCTTGACAGGGAACCGGACACTAGCCCGCCCCCTGAGTAAGGCCCAGGAATAATGACCCAGCACGTCCTCCGCAGGGCCCTGACTCAGAAACACCCCCCACAGGGGGCGGCGAGCATCCTGTGCCCTGATGCTGCCAGCAGCCTGGAGCCCAGCTAGTGGCAGCAGCCCTCTAACGCGCCACCTCTTGGAACTCACCAGCCTGGCTGCCTGATCCTCTGTAGATTCCTGGGCCCTTGCCCCAAGCCAGATCTACAGTGAGGCCAAGGGAGCAAGCACCCCTGCCTCCTCTTCCCTCCCGTTCCCCAGAGCAGTTTTCATCAACCACGTTTGGGAAATTCTAGTTTAGAAAATTCTGACCTCTTGGCTGTGGGGGTTTGCTTGGAAACTTAACCACCGGAGTATTAAGGCCACGGCAGAGGTCCTGAACCCTAGGCTTGTGTGGGCTGGTTCTGGACTGGGAGTATAACTCACTTGGAAAAGTGTTTGCTTGTGCAATGTGAGGACCTGAGTTCAGAACCCACATAATGAAACTGGGCACAGTAATTTGTACCTGTAATCCCAGAACCAGGGAGGTCGAGACGGCTGGGTCCCAAGAGTTCCCTGACCACCTAGCCTCATGACCAGCAAGCCCAGGTCAGGGAGAGACCCTGCCTCAAATACCTAAGGCTCTCTCTGCCCTGAGGTTTTGACAGAAAATCTCTGAGTTGAGAGTAGCTGCAGGAATCCATGGAATTTCAATGGACTGTGACTGACCTGGGGGGAAGAACTGTCTTAAAGGTGTAGACGACCCTGATAGGTCAAGAGTCGTACCTGATAGGTCAAGAGCCGTAGAGACTGACAGACGTGGGCACATACCCAAGCTCCAGCTGCATTCTAGTGCCCCGACCCTAAAGCAGACCCCTCAGTCAGATCCATAGTACCCATGTCTTATTGGCAATTCCAAAACTCAAGTCCTGGTCGGGTCTGTCAATCAGTCTGTCTGCACTTGACCCGAATCCCTAGGAACTCTACACTGGCTGAGGACACTCGCTCTGCACCCCTGAGTCCCAGCTTCCTCCAGGGAAGGAGGATGTCCTTGTTCTTCAAGGACATCAGGAAGAGTGACAGAACTGGCACATTGCAGGCGTTTGATTAGCAGGCTGCCTTGTTCTCTGACCTCCCTAGTCCCACTCCACAAGGAGAATGGAAAGAGTACCACCCTCCCCACCTCCTCCTCTCCTTCCTGGGGAGGTAGCTGAATTACAATGTAAGGAAAACACTTTCCTCTGGAAAGCTCAAACCCTCCTGCTGTGAGCCTCCAAGGGAAAAGGAGGGGCCACCAAGGAGGGAGGGGCATCCAGATCTCCTTATCCACCCTCCAGTGAAAGGCCTGAGAGTGAAAATAGGCCAAGGGTGGCTGTAAGGACAAAGGAGCAGAAATGACAGACCCCTAAAGTGAGAAGGCCCCTGCCTCCTAGTAAAGAGGACAGAACACTTTGTTAGCCCTAAGCTCACATAGACTCGGTGGGTCTCGGGCTCCACCAAGCCCCAGCACTGCAAGGAAAACAGTGATCCACATCACTAGTTTCTCCAAAACACTGACCCCCCCAGAATGTCACAGCCATTGTCAAGGGCTCCTCATGTTTTATGTTAAACAGTTTGTAAGAATTACCTCAATAATCTTCACAGCAGCTGGGTTAAGGTGGATATTATTGTCATATACATCTCACCACCACTACTACCACACACATACACAACACACACACACACACACACACACACACACACACATGCACAACATACATACACACACAGAGAGAGAGAGAGGTTGACAAAAAGTCACATGTATCATGAAGGGCCAGCTTGTTGGGGTTTCTGTCCCACCCGGTACCCCACAACCGGCAAGTCCCAAAGAAAATCACACAAAGGACTCCATAAGATTATAAACTGATTGGCCCATTAGCTCAGTCTTCTTATTAACTAATTCTTACATCTTACGGTAAACCATAATTCTTGTCTGTGTTAGCCATGTGGCTCAGTACCTCTTCCAGCGGGGCGGGTTACATCTTGCTTCTCTGTTATCTGGACAGGAATGGAGGAATGGGCTTCCTCCTTCCTAGCCTTCTCCTGTTCTCATTGCCCTGCCTCTATTTCCTGTCTGGTTGACCCGCCTATACTTCCTGCCTGGCCAATCAGCATTTTATTAAAATACATGATTGACAGAATACAGATAATTCTCCTGCAGTCACACATCAGTAAGTCACAATGCCTAGACTTAAGCTTAGACCCTGGGCCTCTGTACCTGACCTCAGTCTCTATCTCCAATCGCTGGGCACCCCAGAGATGAGAAGAGAGCAGGTCTGACAGTCAGGTAAACCATAGAGCCAAGGACATTGTGCAGCTTCTGAATTTGACCACAGATTGAAATTTCTTGAAGAAGGAAGATGAGAGGAAGAAGAGGAGAAGAGGGAGAAGAGAAGGAGGAGGAAAGAAGGAACAAATGGGGAAATGGGGGGAGAAAGGAGGGGAAGAAGGGAAGGAAAGAAGGACAGAGGGAACCTGAGCCTCACCTCAGACCAACTGAGTCAAAACCCTGAGAGATGAGTCTGAAGCATAAGGTGGACTGTGAAGCTGTGTCTTCCTCGCACCTCCCTTTCTAGGCTCCACTTTCTCACCTCCACCAAGGATAACAGAAGACCCGATCTTTAACTAGAAGGTAGAAGATGAATAAAGGAAAAGAAAACAAGATAAAAAGCCAGGTTTGAGGGTAAAGCTTCCTAAAATCTCAAGCATCCCACTTGATTTAAAAGGAA